TTATTAATAATGCATCACTGTATAAAGGTCTGCTTTTATTTGTGTACACTCACAATGAAAACAACACATTGTGCTTTTGTAACATAAAGAAAACAAATAGGATGTCGGTTTCTGCCATTTGAGTTTCCTTTCTGTGAACAAATTAAGCGTGTCACAAAAATGAACTGAAACTCAGCATATATAGGCTACGTTGCGTGTTGCACTGTTTTTTTCCCTTGTTTATCTGTAAACTAAATAAAATATATTTCAAGAATTTATTCCTTGTATGTATATATGTACAGCAGATTTTATATATATATAACATAATGTAATAATATTTAGTATTTTCGCATCTAGGTGGACATTTTTTTAATTTGTACTACTGTCTGTTCAAAATAAATGAAAAGAAACCGAGCATAGTAGATTTGTTTATTTTTCCTGTTGTACCGAAATAGTATCGAACCGTGACCCCCGAACCGAGGTACGTACCGAACAGTGACATCTGTGTACCATTCCACCCCTAATATATATATATAGGCTAACTGAGACTTGTCATAGCACTTGCATACTATTGCTCTTTTGTTGGTTTTGATTGCTTCAATTGTCATCAATTTTAAGTCACTTTGGATAAAAGCGTCTGCTAAATTACTAAATGTAAATGAGTGATGACACAAACTGAAAAATGTATTTAGGAGTGGTGTGCTGTTACTTTTCTACATTTCATCATCTTCTACTTGTAGAATTTGCAATTCTATTTGACAATGAATGGGCAAAAAATTTAATCGACATGTGTTTAAAGAGGGATACGAGTAATAAAGGGATCAAAATATCATTGGAGGTTGCCACTTTTCACTAGGGCTAGTTAGGAACCATCCAGAACACTCCAGTAACCATTAACCACATATTAGCAACCAGTGTTGGGGGTTACGCACTACAAGTAACGCGAGTTACGTAATCAGATTACTATTTTCAAGTAACTAGTAAAGTAACGCATTACTTTTTAATTTACAAGAGAATATCTGAGTTACTTTTTTTTTCAAATGTATTGATTGACAGCTCTGGTGTTGCCATGGTGAGAGAAATCAGGAGATGTTACTGTAGTTCTAAAATAAATATGAATATGCATTAATTCATCTTTCAACCGTACTAATAATCACAAATTACTCTAGACAAACATTTGTGTCTTTTTTTATTGCTGAAGTGTGTTGAAATGTCGTCTTCTGCATTCTACTGTACGGATGTAAATGTACTTTCCCTTCAGCCTGAGGCTTATTCGTTTCACTTTTGGTGTGAAAAGGCTTTTATATTTGCCAAAAATCGAACTTTTTTATTTTAAAAACAAACAAGCAAGCCCTGTCCAGATTTAAAAAGTAACAAAAGTGACGCAACGCATTACTTTCTATAAAAAGTAACTAAGTAACGTAATTAGTTACTTTTTTATGGAGTAACGCAATATTGTAATGCATTACTTTTAATAGTAACTTTCCCCAACACTGTTAGCAACTGCATATGAACATATAAAAAAACCAGAGATCAACCAATATTTTTTTATAAGGAATCATAATTACAATTATTCTTATTCAGATAATTTTTTAAAACTCAGAATAACAATATGCAGGATTAAAAAAAAATGTTTTAATGCTCAATAATAAATAAATAATCATTTATAAAATAAAATGTAAAAAATTATAAAATATTCAATATGAATACACAAACAAATAAGTTCATAAAATATAAACGTATAAAAATACAACTTATAAAATAAAGTTTATTATTAGCAGTAGTAGTTGAATTTTTGCCACCATATTTATAAAATATTGGGGTTATGAATGATTAGCAGCATTTATCAGAAGATCTCATATTGAAAAACGAATACTATTTTAAAGTTTGGGGACATGTTGGGGATTTTTTTATGTTTTTAAAATAAGTCTCTTATGCTCACCAATTATCACCAATTTGATAAAAATACAGTAAAAACAGTAATATCGTAAAATATTATTACAATTTTCGATTTTTAAATATTTAAAAATTCCTGTGATGCGAAGCTGAATTGTCAGCATCATTACTCCAGTCTTCAGTGTCACATGATCCTTCAGAAATCAGTCTAATATGCTGATTTGCTGCTCGAGAAACATTTCTGATTATTATCAATGTTGAAAACAGTTGCGCTGCTTAATATTGTTGTGGAAACCGTGATACCTCCAAAATCTTCATCACGATTCTTTAATAGACAGTTTAAAATTTTGTGTAACATTATAAATGTTTTACAGTCACTTTTGATCAGTTGACTACCTGCTGAATAAAACCTATTCAATATAGTAACTCCTTACAAACCACTATTTGAACACATTATCAAATATGTTTCATATATATTGTTTGGCATGAGCCAGCATCTCCTGTATCTAGTAGGTATCCAGTTTGTTTGATGGCAGTGATTTGTGGAGCTGAAAGGAATCCAAGCGCCCCAGCCCCGCAGCTCACCTGTCACACTGGCGACACTGCAGGATGATCTCCTCCTCGTTGTAGTTCTGCTGGCACAGCGGGCATGAAGCCAGGCTGGCGCAAGGGGCACACTGAGTGTAATTATTCTGCCACTCACACCTCAGACCCGCAGACGTGGCGCCGCACTGCGTACAGGACACACACCTGCGGGACGCCAAAGCGGCACAATGACATTAATCACACACCACACGACTCCAGCCATTCCAGCCACCCTAATAACAGCTCACATCAATACATGACAAGTAAAATAATTCTCATAAATAAAATCCTTTGAAAAAAAAAAAGCCTTTTGTTAACAAAAGGTCCTCCATTGTAACTAGCAAGTATTCTTAAATCAACCACAAGAACAAAAAGCAGTTAAAGCACAGTTGAAGTAAAATGATTTGGTAAAAGTATGATTATTTGAACATATTATTGTAAAAATGTATTTAAAGCAAAGTGTAAATGAAAAACAGACAGTTAACACTAGAAATGTTCATTATTTGATTTTATGCGATGTGGAATACCATTTGCATTTCCAGCTCCCATTGGGCACGTTCTGTAGGGGCGGGTCTAAGCAGTAGGTGTGGTAGCTGATGTCACAGTCGTCACAGAGCAGCAGACGGCCGGGATCGCTGGCCTGACCGCACGCCTCACACACGGTGCACTCCAGACACCGCCAGCCTGTACTCAGCACCACCTTAGTGATCTGACGAGCAATACATGTCAATTAACACGAGGCAGAGTGCATATGAAGACAAAAAGAAAAAACTGAAGAAAACAGTAGTTTTTAGTAACATGGCAGCGGATTTTTTCAAAACAGGGATTATTTTAGATATTTTTAAGATGTTTCAAATGTTTTTTTTCCATCAAATTAAAGTCAAAGGGGTCCAAAACAACAATGTACCCTACTGAGTTTTGTAGGTACAATAAAATAAAATAAAAAACAACAGTGAGACATAAAAAAAAAAATTTGACCAACTTTTGTCTTCAACAGAAAAAAAGATGGTCTGGATTGAAACGACATGAGGTTGAGAAAATGATGATATTTCTGGGTGAACTATCCCTTTAAGTAGGTAAATTGGTTCTATCTTGCCTGTAAAATCACATAGACCAGGGTTATTACTGTTAACTAAAAAAAAACAAAAACTATTTAAAACATTTTCATTAACTGAAATAAAGCCGAATTAAAATATAATAAAAATTAGATGAAAAACGTCATTAACATCTAAAAACTTCAACTTCTTTAACAGCATAAAGTTGAAGCATTAAAGTTACAATACTCAAATTCAAATGAACTAGAAATCAATAAAAAAACTCAATTGAACTTAAACAGTAATATAAAAAAAAAAACTAATGAAAATGACAAAGCATATAACAAAGTAAAATTGTTAGAATTAAACTAAAGTTAAAATGAAAACTGAAAATATAAAAATGTATAAAAAAAAAAAACTGAATACATGTTTTTCTGCTTAATATTTTTGTGTGGAAACCATGCTATTTTTTTTTTCATTAATCGGATAAGTAAGTTTGAAATCTGATGAATGAAAAGTTTAAAAGGACATCATTTATTTGAAATATAAATCTTTCATAATGTTATAAATGTATTTACTCTATACTTTTGTTAAATTTAATACATTCTTAAAAGTATTAATTTTAAAAACTTGCAGAAATGTATTATTTAAGGTTTAAAAACAAACACAATGTTTAAATAATATCAATACAGTGTTGCCTTGCGTGTATTTTTAAAAATATTTTAATTTCAGTGCTATCTTGGTTTGTAGCTTAGTCTGGTTTTTTGAAAAATTGTAATTTAATTTTCTTCCCAGGTCTGGCAAGGTTTTTTTTTTTTTTTTGCTTGGCCAGTCATAATTAACACTACCATCAACACCTCCAACAGTATTAGAAAAAAGGAAGGATGTACTGGCCTCATCCTGCTCACCTTTATGTTAACACAGAAGGGGTGGTAACACTGTGCACACTGAGCACAGGCCAGGAGTCGACCCTCCACACCCTGTCCAAAACTCCCACAAACCACACACATATCCTAAAGAAAACACACACACACCAGTGTAAGAGAGCAGCAGACTCCACATACACAGCTGCAGCAGCACGAGCGCTCAGAAACATTTACCTGCTTCATAGTGAACGTGTCTGCACTAGAGAAAATCACCACTGTATTGTGCATGGCGTTTTCTTCCTCTTCCTTGAATGTGCAAATGGGGTCCATGATGTTCACCTGCAGAGACGCAAACAAACCATACAAATAAACAGAAGAGTAGTACAGCAATTTATCCACGTATCAGAACAAACCATATAGTAGCTGTCAGATAATGAGACGTACTCCTGGTGTTGGGATTGGAGGGACTCCGTTCTTCATTCTGGCCCGGCCTCGTCCTCCCCGGCCCGTGACACCCGAACCCCTGGGCCGTCTCCTGCTGGGGAAGCCAGATCCCCGGCCCTGCTGACACCACAGAGACACCATCAGGGCCATCAAAAAGAAGAGGCTAAAGGAATTTATATTTATGCATTCGCTTCTACTTTTCCTCTGGGAGCTTCCTGTAACCAGCTTTATAATTGTGATAAATGACACAAATGTTCAACAGCATGACATTACATTGCAATAACAATGTTATTGACCAACTTTGCATTTACAATTTCACATTTCTGATCACATACAGCATTGAAATCCTACACATTTCTGTGAATTTCCATGGCTTTTCCAATAGTTTGTTATCACTGGATTTTTTTTTTAAACACTACCATTCAAAAGTTTGGGGTCAGTAAGATTTTTAGGAAAGAAATGAATACACTTTTATTAAGCAAGAAAGCAGTCAATTGATCAAAAATGACAGTAAAGTTACATTATTACAAAAAAAAATTAAAATAATCAATCAATCAATTTTTAATAAATACTGTTCTTTTAAGCTGAAACAAAGTATCACTGTTTCTACAAAAATATTAAGCAACACAACTGTTTTAAAAAATAATTGAATATTAAAAAGAATAAATTAGCATATTAGAATGATTTCTGAAGGATCATGTGACATTGAAGACTGGAGTAATGATGCTGATATGTATATATAAATAAATCACATTTTAAAACATATTCAAATAGAAAACAGTTATCTTAAATTGAAATAATATTTCACAATATTACTGTCTTCACTGTATGTTTAGTCAAATAAATGCAGCCTTGGTAAGTATAACAGATTTCTTTCAAAAACATAAAAAAAAAACATACCAACCCCAATATTTTGCTCTTAAATATTTCCAAACAAACATAAAAAATATTTTTCTATTAATTTGCATAACATTTCCGACTCTGAAAAGTCTAATTGTTTTCGAAATTTCCAGTTTTTCCAATGAACGTGAACTTTACTAGGCTGACAAACACATCTGATGCGTGATTTAATGGATTGATTAAAGAAAGGAAAATTATGTGATGCTCCAAACGGTGAAGCTTTCCAGTACTTCTCCTGTCGTGTGACAAACGAGCAGATTCATCCCATCTTCCTCAAACACTCCTGACGACTCAGTCCTCTGCACTGACAGCGCCCAAGCAATTTCAACTGGAGCAGGAAACCAGTGTCCAAAGTTTTCTTTCTCTTTGTGTTTATATTTAATGAACGGCCGACCAGCTCAACTTTAATGCACTGTGATCAAATAACCAACCCAAACCAAACACGGCTCTCCCTCAATTTAACTAGCTGTCACAGCGGAGCAGCGTTCCCCATAATGACACCAATTCTGCAGAGACTGTGACACTCGGTTTGAGATGGCATCTGAGGGAGCATCAGGCTGTTGAGAGGCCTCGGCCGTGTTATTCCAGCGATTTCACTTCTATTACGCTGTCAGCGCGTTTCCTTTCCTCAGGGGCTGCCATTCTGACTGTCACAATCAAAACCCTTTCCAAGAATTACACTCTCTCCCTCCCTCGGCTTCACAACTACTGGTCCTCTCGCTGGACCATCAGCCCTTCTTTCAACTTCTGCCTGTGCCACTCACACTTGATCGTTTTTTAAATTGCTCCTTTCATCATTTGTTTTATGCTACCTGACTGGACTTAATGTTAAAATATTTTTCAGCTTCTGCTGTACCATATTAAATATATATGTGACCCTGGACCACAAAACCAGTCATATACATGTATGTATGTATACATCATCTGAAAAGTTGAATAAATAAGCTTTCCATTGATGTATGGATTGTTAGGATAGGACAATATTTGGCCGAGATACAACTATTTGAAAATCTGGAATCTGAGGGTGCAAAAAATCTAAATACTGAGAAAATCGCCTTTAAAGTTGTCCAAATGAAGTTCTTAGCTATGCATATTACTAATCAAGAATTAAGTTTTGATATATTTATTAGAGCCCGACCGATATATCGTTTTGCCGATATTATCGGCCGATATGAGCCTGTCGCCGATATATCGGTATCGGCGAATATGCCGCCGATATGAACATTTACTTTTACAGAACATATAATGCAGATAAAATGCTTGAAATGGTGTAATTACTTAGTTTGTCCAGCAGAGCGCGCTCCATTGTTTGCTACTGGCGACCTGGATGAAACGCTTTAAAGCTTAAGTCTATGGAAAACCATTGAAACTTTGAAGGGTCATATCTCCGTAACGGCGAGGCCAATCCGCACCAATTTCGGGGGATCCCTTCAGTTCGAGGAACCCTCTCGAACGCGAATCGAGTGTACATCTAGAGGCCCGCTTTCGAATGAGACCACCCCCACGTCGATAGCCCACGGTGTTACGGGTGGTTAAATTCGCGTTCCGGCGCCGACCGATCAAGCGATCCCGAGGGGCTACCCACTCGCGGAGGGTGGCATTCAAGAGGGCTCCTCGAGCTGAAGGGATCCCCGCTCTAGTAAGTTTCGTCTGTGTGCGAAGACAGTAGTGCGACAGTAGTATCGATATCGGCCCCAAAAAACCCATATCGGTCGGGCTCTAATATTTATGGTAGGAAATTTACAAAATATCTTCATAGAACGTGATCTTTACTTAATATCCTAATGATAATTGAAATAATGAAAGTTGATTTTTGTCATAAAAGAAAAATTTATCATTTTGACCCATACAGTGTATTTTTGGCTATTGCTACAAATATACCCCAGCGACTTAAGACTGGTTTTGTGGTCCAGGGTCACATATGTCAATATTTATTTGTTCCAAAACAATTTAAAAGAGTGATTCTATCTATCTATCCATCCATCCATCCATCCATCCATCAGAATCTTATATAGATTTTCAAGAAATTATTTTATGACTGTAATATATACAGTGGGTACGGAAAGTATTCAGACCCCCTTAAATTTTTCACTCTTTGTTATATTGCAGCCATTTGCTAAAATCATTTAAGTTAATTTTTTTTTCCTCATTAATGTACACACAGAACCCCATATTGACAGAAAAACACAGAATTGTTGACATCTTTGCAGATTTATTAAAAAAGAAAAACTGAAAAATGCTCAGTATTTAGTAGAAGCACCCTTTTGATCTAATACAGCCATGAGTCTTTTTGGGAAAGATGCAACAAGTTATTCACACCTGGATGTATATATATATATATATACAGTATATATATATATATACACACACATATACTTATATATATATATATACACACACACACACACACACACTATACACACACACACGCCATTTCAGTTTATATAAATTAATAAATTATTTTATAATTTTATATAATTTAACCATTATTTCTACTTAAATTTTATAAACATGATTGATAAAATGCACAAGAATAAATTAATTAAATCAAATGAACCAAAAATAAGAATTTTTTTATTTCTATTGTAATTAATGTTAACAATTAGTTATACAAATATTCCAAATTTACAAAAAATGGAATCAGTTAGTACGTACTAAAGCCATCTCAATTTAATTATAATAAGTACAAACTTATAGGTGAATCATGATTTGAGTGAAAATGTTCACACACAGGTTTTGTGCACAAAATGTTTTCTCAACTCCAACTAAATTTCATCTCCAGCTAAATCACGGCAAATATATTGTGAATGTTCGATATAACACTCACTCCTATAAAGACAAAGAAATGAGCACCATATTAATGTACACTCTTATTTACATAGTCCAAGATTCTTCTTCCTTCCTCTCCATCATCATCTTAATGTAGATGCTGTCTTTCCAGTGACCCTTGACATGTGGCAAATACTATCCAACATGCTCGTTGTCGAGACATGATAATGTGACGGGACCTGGTCTGGCCCCGTGCCCACATGGACCCGGAGCCCCTGACCCTCAACACGCAGCACATCTGCTCCGGCTCACAACGTCAACACATTCACAACTCATTTTCATTCATTAGCCCGGGTCAAGCCGGGTCGTGGAAAGAAAAGCACTGTGCATGCTGGGGAAAAAAACGTTAGGATGTATTGTGAAGCCACAGAACATGTTAGTGTTCTTAGCGGTTGTTTCTGACATGAAAAATGCAGCACTGAATTTGTTCAGTCCAAATCCAAATCAAAGCTGTCCAACATGAGCATTGTTATGACTACATTCTCAATGCCACTCTCGATTCTCTGCGTGAAAAGTCAAGGGTCTGCTGTGCTTTATATTTCATACAGCTGGTATTTTCTAGCTCTTCCAGCCCTTGAAAATTACTATTTATTCCCATTACTTCCTATTGCTTGAAAATTACCATTAACAGTCTATAAACACAATTTTAGCATTTCTTTAACAACACATTTTACTGTGTGTAATTATTAGGAAGCTAAACACCTGCTGTTGAGACTGAGGATATCTGGGGAAGGTTCGTTAAAGAGGTCTAGCTTTTTCACATTTTTACACCATGTCTACACTGGACGTGATCAGAATTACATCAGACCATATCAACTTGATTTCAAAATAGCTATGTTATATATACACTGCCGTTCAAAAGTTTGGGATCAGTAAGACTTTGAATGTTTTTTAATGCAGTCTCTTGTGCTCATCAAGGCTGTATTTATTTGATCAAAAATACAGAAAAACAACAGTAATATTGTGAGATATTTCTAATATTGGTTTTCTGTTTTAATATACTTTAAAAAATAATTTATTCCTGTGATCAAAGCTGAATTTTCAGCATCATTACTCCAGTCTTCAGTGTCACATGATCCTTCAGAAATCATTCTAATATGCTGATTTATTATCAGTGTTGTGCTTTTCTGGATTCTTTTATGAATAACAAACAAAAAAGAACAGCATTTATTTAAAATTAAAATCTTTTTTCTATTTTACTATCACTTTTTATCCATTAAACACATCCTTGCTGAATAAAAGTATTCATTACTTTCAAAAAAAGAAAGAAAAAAAATTTACTGACTCCAAACTTTTGAACAGTAGTGTATATTGTAACACAAGTTTTCCATTTTGAATAAATGCTGTTTTTTGTTTATTTTATATATTCATAAAAGAATCCTGAAAAAAGTATCACAGGTTCCAAAAACATGAAGCA